TTTGAGAGGAAACCTATTTATTTAGGTTTCGGTAGACCAGTTGACAGAGGGATCCGGAGCAGAATACATTGCAACACGTGCTGAAACAACGGATTTAATTTTTTTTTAATTACTGGGCTTGTATGCGTGATCTCTTTGGCAAGAAGGATGGTAATCAAGGCGCCTGGGATGGTTATTCAAAGGACGAAGGGATTCGGCGATCGATGTTTTGTCTAAATAAATCATTAAGGCAAAGGGCAGTCAGCAAACACGAACCTAGTCACGGAAATGAAGTCGTTTTACCCGAGTGGGAGGAAGTGAACTCTGAAGAGGTACAATACAGATCATCTACCTTGCTCATGATACCCAATAACAAAACGTCCTCATTTATTCAGGCTACCCATTGCAAGAGAACAAAGGTCGAGCCGTGGAAGATGAACTCTGTGTATGTTGGTTGACCTATATGGTGGTTGTATGGCGGTGAAAATCCAGTGACAAATTTACAAATCCTACAAAATACGCATTTACGAAGAAAAATATGTAGATATTTAAGTTCTCTTATTCCTACACTTCGTAGTAGAAAGCTCACTCCTTCGAGGAATTTGCAATGGCTCAAGTTCTCTTTCCCTCACGCCTTCCAAGCACTTGTCTTCTCCATTTACTTTAATGGACATAAAAATGTACTTCATTGCATAGGAATAAAATTAACACAATGAAGTTGAAGTGCATGGAAAGAAAGCGTGGGCAGCCAAAAAACCAAGTCTGCCTCCACAAAAGGTGAGCACGCAAGATATTTACTGCCAGCACACAACCAAAAATGGATTCATCATCATACCTCGCCGTTCCCACCCGGCCCTACCACAGCCCCACGCCCCTCACAGATGCACACACTGCCCTCTTTTGCACCAGCGTATTCAGTTAGTTTCACTCTACCACTTATGTGCGTCTCCATGTCATTGCCGTCTTTTACGTTACTGCTGCCGCTGATACTGCGCTTGGTGTGGTGATGCTGAGGTGGCTGACCACAAGCATCACAATGCTGTAATGCTGTACTGAGGGATCGTGTACCCATCATGGACCATGGTGGTGGTGGCGATGGCAGCGTCACTCCTGGGCTCAACGGTAGTGCGTCTGACTCCAGATCAGAAGTTTGAGTGTTCAAATCACGTTATCACTTCTCATTCACTCACTTCCCTCCCTCCCTCTATTCAGGCCTCTTGTTGTTGCCTGTCTATCACACACCTCAAACTTCCAGCCCCTCTCCTCTCATCCCCAGCCCCTTCCGTCAATTCGCCTGTCATTGCTGCTGCTGTCGCTGCGCTGCTAGCAACGCTATTGTCACAGCTGATGCCCTTGACTCCTGCTTCCATCAGTCCTCCTTCTCCCGCTTGCCGAATTTGTTTGCAAAATAATGGTCGAGGTGTGCCGTCCCATAGGGAATAGAGTGCAGCCAAGCAGAGGTGTGTAGAGGTGAGATGATGGGTGAGGCTGAGGTGAAATAGTGCAGGTTCGCATGTGAGTAAAGTGGAGTGTTATGGCCACGAAGGAGAGAAAAGGTGGGTGAACAGGCCATCCAGAAATGCTAAATGAACTATTTTCAAAGGGAATGGATTAGGTGTTGCAACTGAGGAGAGGGCAGGACAGACATATGCCAAGCATATGAAGCGTCATACTTTGAACGAGGAGAGTGCCCCTACATTCTTCAAGGTAGAATCCGGAAGCACTACCATCTTCCAAACCCTAGGACCACCTTCTCGAGCTTCCTGGCGCTCCTTGAGAGTCCAGTTTTTTCCCAAAGTACTAAAGCATTTTTTCATTCCAGAATGCTTATTATCTGTTCCAATGCCCTCTAAAGTGCAATTTGCTAAAGGGAATCGCTCACAGCTGCAATGCTGTACTGAGTGTTTGAGAGGAAACCTATTTATTTAGGTTTCGGTAGACCAGTTGACAGAGGGATCCGGAGCAGAATACATTGCAACACGTGCTGAAACAACGGATTTAATTTTTTTTTAATTACTGGGCTTGTATGCGTGATCTCTTTGGCAAGAAGGATGGTAATCAAGGCGCCTGGGATGGTTATTCAAAGGACGAAGGGATTCGGCGATCGATGTTTTGTCTAAATAAATCATTAAGGCAAAGGGCAGTCAGCAAACACGAACCTAGTCACGGAAATGAAGTCGTTTTACCCGAGTGGGAGGAAGTGAACTCTGAAGAGGTACAATACAGATCATCTACCTTGCTCATGATACCCAATAACAAAACGTCCTCATTTATTCAGGCTACCCATTGCAAGAGAACAAAGGTCGAGCCGTGGAAGATGAACTCTGTGTATGTTGGTTGACCTATATGGTGGTTGTATGGCGGTGAAAATCCAGTGACAAATTTACAAATCCTACAAAATACGCATTTACGAAGAAAAATATGTAGATATTTAAGTTCTCTTATTCCTACACTTCGTAGTAGAAAGCTCACTCCTTCGAGGAATTTGCAATGGCTCAAGTTCTCTTTCCCTCACGCCTTCCAAGCACTTGTCTTCTCCATTTACTTTAATGGACATAAAAATGTACTTCATTGCATAGGAATAAAATTAACACAATGAAGTTGAAGTGCATGGAAAGAAAGCGTGGGCAGCCAAAAAACCAAGTCTGCCTCCACAAAAGGTGAGCACGCAAGATATTTACTGCCAGCACACAACCAAAAATGGATTCATCATCATACCTCGCCGTTCCCACCCGGCCCTACCACAGCCCCACGCCCCTCACAGATGCACACACTGCCCTCTTTTGCACCAGCGTATTCAGTTAGTTTCACTCTACCACTTATGTGCGTCTCCATGTCATTGCCGTCTTTTACGTTACTGCTGCCGCTGATACTGCGCTTGGTGTGGTGATGCTGAGGTGGCTGACCACAAGCATCACAATGCTGTAATGCTGTACTGAGGGATCGTGTACCCATCATGGACCATGGTGGTGGTGGCGATGGCAGCGTCACTCCTGGGCTCAACGGTAGTGCGTCTGACTCCAGATCAGAAGTTTGAGTGTTCAAATCACGTTATCACTTCTCATTCACTCACTTCCCTCCCTCCCTCTATTCAGGCCTCTTGTTGTTGCCTGTCTATCACACACCTCAAACTTCCAGCCCCTCTCCTCTCATCCCCAGCCCCTTCCGTCAATTCGCCTGTCATTGCTGCTGCTGTCGCTGCGCTGCTAGCAACGCTATTGTCACAGCTGATGCCCTTGACTCCTGCTTCCATCAGTCCTCCTTCTCCCGCTTGCCGAATTTGTTTGCAAAATAATGGTCGAGGTGTGCCGTCCCATAGGGAATAGAGTGCAGCCAAGCAGAGGTGTGTAGAGGTGAGATGATGGGTGAGGCTGAGGTGAAATAGTGCAGGTTCGCATGTGAGTAAAGTGGAGTGTTATGGCCACGAAGGAGAGAAAAGGTGGGTGAACAGGCCATCCAGAAATGCTAAATGAACTATTTTCAAAGGGAATGGATTAGGTGTTGCAACTGAGGAGAGGGCAGGACAGACATATGCCAAGCATATGAAGCGTCATACTTTGAACGAGGAGAGTGCCCCTACATTCTTCAAGGTAGAATCCGGAAGCACTACCATCTTCCAAACCCTAGGACCACCTTCTCGAGCTTCCTGGCGCTCCTTGAGAGTCCAGTTTTTTCCCAAAGTACTAAAGCATTTTTTCATTCCAGAATGCTTATTATCTGTTCCAATGCCCTCTAAAGTGCAATTTGCTAAAGGGAATCGCTCACAGCTGCAATGCTGTACTGAGTGATCGTGTACCCGGCATAGTTGGTGGTTGGTAATGGTGGTGGTAACTCCGTGGCTCAACGGTAGCCCGTCTGACTCCAGATCAGAAGGGTGTGTGTTCAAATCACGTCGGGGTCAGCGCTTATTGTGTCTT